TATCCTTGTTCTCTTCATCTCCATCCTCTTTTGAGCTAAATATCTGAAATCATTTAATATATTAAAAAAGATAATCTTTTGTATGTGTTACTTGAATCGAGGATGTATCGAAAACAGTCTCTCTGTGTACGTTCAATCCTCTCCAAATCCCACCTTATGAGATTATACTCGATAGATTGTTGTTTGTAAAGGATATTCTTTTGTAGGGGTTTCTTGGACAGGGGTAAGCAAGAGGCAAAATAGAATGGTAGAAACTTATTCGTCAGCAACTGTTTATATTAAAACAATAAATGTATGATACGTGTTTTGCACACTTAATCAACCCCAATTAATTAACATATTTTTCACCTCTTTGTTTCACTTAACCATAGTAATTTATTATTACTCCCTCTTTCCCTAATTATTTGTCCACTTTTGAATTGACACACTTATTAAAAAAACAATTAATGATATAATGAATTTACCATTTTATCCCTATTAATTATGAAGTTGATGAATTAAAAACTTAATATTTTCAAGAAATTAAACAGTTAAAGAAATTAATTGAAGGTATAATAGGTAAAAAAAAAATTTTATTCTTTCTTGATTTGTCAAAATGAACAAGTAATTAGGGACAATTAAAAAAAGAAAAAATAAACAAGTAATTAGGAACAGAAAAAGTATCAATTAATAGGATAAAATAATAAACTCACTATATCAATTAAATATTATTTTTCTTAATAGATATGTGAAGTCAAAATTTGACGAGTAAATCCGAACAGAAAAGAAGAGTACCTTCCATAGGCCAGCTTCTAGACCAAATTTCTTTGTGATTTCCTCAGCAGACTTAACTTCTTCTGTTGTTTTCTCCTTCAATGCTCTAATTTTAAACTTTTTATTGGAATTTGAGGTACCTGAATTTAGTACCTTGTTTGGTTTTCTTAAATTTGGAAAAACAGGAAATAAAGAACAAAGAGCAATTTTACTGTGCTGAGAAGAAATTTGCAAAGCAGAAGCCATCTTTTTTTGAGTTTATCCAAACGTGGCGTTAGTTCTCTTCTTCTTTTAGGAGTGGACTCAAATGGAGAGTTAAACAAAAAAAAAATCAGATGGAGAGAAAGACAAGTTTCATTATTTCTAGCCTTTCTTTGTTTTAACAAATGAAAAAATGGAGATATTCTATATTCCTTACTATTGGGCTTCCTACTTCTTTTTTGGGCCTAGTCCAATCATACATAAAAAAAAAATTAAAAAGAAAGATTTTTCCCGTGTTTGGTATCCACGTTAGAACTCGACTAAAATCTAAATTCATGCCGACTCCGTACCCCCAAGAAGCTACTCGAACTCGAGATCTCTGATTAAGGATGAAGGAGTACTTACCATTCCATTGCAATCTTTGTTGCTCCAATCATATACTCTACTAAAAATTAAGAAAAATTATGTGACGTGGCAAATATTTAATTGTATTTATGATAAATAGTTATAATCTTAAAAGATTATGAACAATAGCTATGTTTTGGGTTATGTAGTAAATACTCAACTAATACAATGATTGTAGCTAATTATAATTATGTTTGTAATTACCCTTTTAAACTACCGTTATTTATGAAATTTTCTCAAATAATCAGGTGGGATAACCAGTTTTTGGGTTTCTCATGAGTTTTTAGCCAACATTTGAAAAGTAAATGAAAAATAGTCGCACTTTAATGGAAAAGTAAAATTTAAACAAAAGTATCCTTACTTAAAACATGAAATGACGTATGTAGATTTAAATTCCGTTAATTATTTTTTGATTTTATATTTATAAATGTTTAAACCTCATAATTATAATTTTTTATTTTGAAACTCTAAAAAATTTTAAACCTCTTTTTTGGTTTTGAACTTATAAATATTTAAACTTTATGAATAGTAAGTTATACATTCATTATTATAACTTACTACTCAATTTTAAATAATTTATTTTTCATAATTATCAGTGGACCTGATAATTTGAATTGTTTTTTTTTTCTTTTAATGAATATCAAACATTGCTTAGTAATGAAGGGAACTACATTTTGCTATTTTCTTGAAGTGAAAAATTTTAGAGTGACCGAATTACTCTATATAAAAATTTTCTCCCCTTTTATTTTATACAAATTAAATGACTAAATTGATTGCAATTTGGAAGACAACTTAGCTCTAAATTGATGCATTACTTGAAATTGAAAATGAGAACTAATCTAAAAATTTCCTTAAGCAGAAGTAAATTAACTATTAAGAAAGCAAACAAAATCTTGAAAATATACCACTAAAGATGGTAGTGAAATTGCAAGTACTATTCAATTTTTAATTAGAGGTCTCGAGTTTGAACCGTGAGTATATAGTCATCTTTATTAAGAGAATTTATCTCTCAAAGTGAAACTTTTCGATGCGAATTCAGATTGATCAAACTTCAAAACAGATGTTGAATATCAAGTGAAAAGAAAAGACAACCTTGAAAACATAGCTATTGTTCCTTTTAGCAAAATTTTGGTAATAGGTAAAGCTCATTCACCAACTAATTAATGATATATGAACATGAAAATGTGGATAAATGTTTTTTTTAAGAAAAAAATTAATGTTTATAAGTAAGTACAAAAATATTATCTCAAGAGCAATGATATATAATCGAATAAAATACTATAAGGATGGAATAAGATGAAGTGAGAGTTAGGAGGTAGCAAAAGTGGGATGAGATGGAGTGAGAGTTCGGGGATAGCGAAGGAAGATGAGACACTAAACTTAAAAGGTCACTTATCGGAAAAAAAATTCACTACTTCAATTATGTAAATTATTTTTCTCATTTTATTTTTTTTTAAAATTGTTTTAAAAAGATCCAACATAATTTGACAAACCGAACATACAAAAAATATTAAAAAGCATTTTTCAAAAAATATTTCCCCTCACCAAACACTCCCCTATTCTCATTATATATTTTTTTTCCTAAAAAAAATGCACATTTCGATAGAATAATAAAAAGACCTATCAGTGGGCTCTTCAAATCATGTATTACTTGTAATTTACTTCACTCTTCATATTTTTCATTTTATACTAAGATATTTATGTAGATATAACGTTTATCGGTTACTTTGTGGTGATATTTTTAAAAAAAAATCCAATTTCGAATAATTTAAGGACACAATTGAATATTTTTTTTTATTTTGTTTTGAAGCAACTATACGTTGAAAGGGTTTTTTATTTTTGAGTTACTTGACTAATTAATTAAAGGATATTTTTAAGCTAGTTAACTAATAATGAGACTTATATTTTATCAAAAAATATAAGAATAAAATTGACCTATTTCAAATAGTTCACATAATTTTTAGCCCTTTTCCCGGTTCACAAATAACCACATCTTAATCCCTACAATAAAAAAAACAATCAATCATTGTCTTAATTTTTTATAATAATATTAAATTTTTAAATATTGGATAGTTGAAACTTGCGTGTGTGTAATCAAATACCATTTACATATCCAATCTTTAAAAAAAAATTGTGTTCGTAATTACTCTTTGGAATTTGTGTACACACATACTTTTCAAAGTTGACTCGTTAAAAATGTTAAAATTACTTTTCTTAAATTAAATGTATATCAAAATTGACTTTATTTCATATAGGATAAAAATAAAGTATGCAATATGCATACATTCAATTTTTTCCAACCTTCATTTATAAAATCACATTAAAATAAGTTATTATCGTAAGCACTTTAATATTTATCGAGAGTATAAATAAGCTTAGCTAGATATGTATTTTCCATCTTACCTTTAAAGAGTCAACTACCTAGCTCTACACAATTATTATGCACGTCTCTCTTACTTGTTATCTACGGCAAATTAATTGGATAATCTAATAAAATAAATTGACACAAATTTATTAAAAATATTTCAAGTTCTACACACGGTTTTAATTTGTTTGATTTGTATGTTGGGATTATAATTTATAGTATGAAGATTTAATTTAATTATAATAAAATTATTTAGTAAATATATTTTGTCCAAATCTTCTTTTTAAAGTTGAGAATCTATCCAAAATAAAATATATAAATGTCATGTATATTATATAGAATCAATTAAAAAGAGAATAATAATAACAACAAATAATATGATAACTAAATAAATAGCAGGTAATATTAAAATTCTTGAAAATTCAAACAAAATTTTATACTTTAAAGTTATTTTTTCACATCATCAAATCCCACTCTTCATCCATATCCTTAGACAAAACGTAAAAGAAAGAGACCAGAAAAAAAAAATGCAAAAAAAATCCTCAATATGATCCCCCTTTATCCTCCCATATGGATCAAATAAATAAATGCAAATGACCAATATACAAAATCTTATAAGGGTACAATATTATGTAGTCTTATTCTTATCTTACACTAGAAAGACAGTTTTTGAAAAATTCTCTGTTCAAAGAAAACCAAAATTGAACATCAATAATAATAACATACGTAGTGTAATTAGATATAAAAAGGATAAAATATAAATTTTTTTTTACCTAAATACACAATTTATTTTACAATATTCTTTAAACTTTCCTCCCATTTGAAAAAATTACAAAAATTTCCACTCTCTCCTATTTTCGGATACATCACTTTACACGATGTATCGGTCATATACATCACTTTATGCGATGTATAGGGACGTACGCTATGTACCGATGTGTTGAATGAAGTATCCGAAACGAGGACGTTTTGGGTTGTATAAATTGTATTTTGTGTAAAATTTGGAAAAGACCAGATATTAGATGTAATTAATTCTTAGCACTATGTGTTTTGTGTAAAATTTTCCAAAATATACGCAAATCTTATCTCCATCTTTTTGGTCAATTATTATTAAACAGTCAAAACAATATTTTCTTTGACCATGAATGTTTTCTAAATATTTATAATATTAATTAATTCGACCAAATAAAAATTGAAACATTATATCACAAGTTAACTCATTTATTTCCTTCTATATAACACCTTATTTTTCTTCTTCTTCAAAATGTGTTAAAAAATGTCTTCAAAAAACAAAAAAAAATGGAATTGCATTACTTCCAATGGAACAGCAGGCTGTGGTTGCAGCAAGCCCAAATTATCAGAAATTATTCAGCCCAAACCCAAGCCCAGGCCCAAACCCGAGCCCAATTATCACTCATCTTCAACCGCTAATTCAGATTCACCATCTCCGACGATTTTGCCGGCGAAGATCGTCGGAAGTGTGGCCGTAGTAAAGGATTCCGATGATCCGTTTGGGGATTTCCGGCAATCGATGTTGCAGATGATAACGGAGAAGGAGATTTACTCGTACGATGATTTGAATGAGCTTTTGAATTGTTTTTTACAGCTGAATTCGCCTTCTCATCATGATATTATTGTTCAAGCTTTCATGGAGATCTGGAATAATGGGAAAAATTGTTTCCAAAGAGGATCCTAATTAACTTTTTTTTTCCTTTTTTTTGGGGTGAATTCTCGTTCAATTGCTCGAATTCTTCAAAATTGTTAGATAGTAACATGTTGGGATCGGAGAATTTAATATGACTTATGAGTAATATATATGGAAAAATTACTGAAATATATGTCTTATATTTCTCTTATTTCCAATACCCTTTCTATTTCTAAAATCCCTTATTTATTTAATGTATTTGAACTACATATTAATATATTTGAGCTAGTTTTTAATGTATTCGAACTACATATTGTGTATCCGAGCTATATATTATGTATCTGGTTTATGTTATAATGTATCCGAGATACTCTTTAATGTATCCGAGCTACATATTATGTATCCGATTTGTGTTACTTTTTAAGGGATTAATGTAATTACAAATTAAAGAGGGATAAATTGTAATTTCATATTAAAACTATGTAATTCCTAAAATTTACCCATTATATTAGTCGAATTCTTTAAAAATGTCATAATTATGTATGAATTTCCGAAAATATAGTATTGAATAATTATTATACTTTAAAATTTATGACCTTAATATTAAAAATATGAGTAACTTATAAACTATATCTTTTTTTCTTTTTTTTTTTGGTTTGATAAATCTTTAATTGTGATGAACTTTTATATGTTTTCTTTTCTCTAAAAAAAGGAGAAGCTATATTGAAAAACCAAATAAAATTGTATCAAACAGAGTATATATCTAATTTTCCTAATATTTTGAGGTAAATAAATAATATATTATCGATCGGTTCGATTTTATGTATTATTGGTTCGATTTTTGATTTTAAATACGTTATATCAATAACCAAATTAATAAGATGTTTTTACTAGTTTTTGGCCCTTAACGATTTGGTATTTGGTTTAACCAATAAGAAAATACGCATAAAATAATTATATGACTTCTCTAATAATTTGGCGCGACAAGACAATAATATAACTTTATGGAATGCTCATAAAATATAAACAATAGTAACTAACATGAAAAGAATTATTCAAGTGCAATACAAATAAAAGAACTAGAACAATACTCCCTTCGTCCACTTTTATTTGTCATGTTGTGTTTTTCGAAAGTTAATTTGACTAATTTTCAAAGTTAAATTAGATTATATCAATTCAATATTTTAAATAAAAAATTTCGACATTCAAAAACTATACAAAAAGTACTATAAATTACAATTTTTTACATATCGATATGATGCAAAAAATACATAGTAAAATGTTAGTCAAAGTTCTTATAGTTTGACTATAAAAAAGGAAACTGTGACAATTAAAAGTGGACGGGGGAATAATGTGAATTGAAGGCTAAATGACAAATGTAGTAACTAATAATGTATTGATATTAAAACAATATATTACTATTGTCTTAATGAGTTTCAGTTTACCAATAACCCAATATCAAAAATTTAATATCAAACTTATAACTCAATAATATTTTTTTATAAAATCATAAAAACATTAACTTAATAACTCAATAATTTTGATTTGATTAATTGATCGATTCGATTTTTATACACTCCGAATCTCCGATATACCAATCATCTTTTGTTTAAATTTAAAAAGAATTTATCTTTTATATATATATGGTGTACATTTGTTGTGAAGACTGTGGTCCTAATTTTTTTAATTAATAAGTAGTAGTTGTGTGTCTAAGTTTCATAATTTATTTCTTCACTTATTTTGCTGTTATGTTTCATTTTCATATGCATCATATTCCTTCTTAATTGTCACTTACATTAACCATGAAAAATTGTGGGACATAGGGTTTAATTCCTTTTTATCCATAAAAGGGTGTGTTTGTTAGGAAAATTTATTTTTTTAAAAAAATTAGAAAGTAAATAAGTAAAATATTACTTTTAGAATATTTATATATAGTGTAGGTACGAGTGAGGTTCGTCGTTCGAGTATGGTGGGGTAGGATGATCAAGGGTGTGGATTGATGAGTAGATAATGAATTTGAAATGACATTTATAGAACTTGTTTACGTACTCTTATTAGAAAAAAATATTTTTCTTTTTTTTAAGGAACTTGTTATCTTATCGAACAAAATCAAAACATCAAGAGCTCTTCTTGAATGCATATTATAAAAAAATTTATACTATCTTTTGTTTTGTTTTACTCGACACAAATTTTAAGAAAGTATTTATTAGGGATTTGTTTAACTAATTATCCTTATTAATACCATGCTTTGGATACAAATTTTAAATGCTAATACTTTATATAGTGCTATTAAATTATAAGGGTAATATTGAAAGAAACTAACGAATCTCTCTAAATCGCTAAAATAAACAAGTAAATAAGAAAAATCAACTTTAAGTAAAAAATGCCAATTAAACTGAAACAGAGTGAGTAATAATTAACAACGTGAAGGTATTTTTTTCAAGTAAAATGGAAAATCTATTTATAATGCTAGTTATAAATTTAGCCAAACAACCTCGGTTCAATTTTGCAAAATGTGGCCTAAATTGTAGTATCGCGATTACGACTGGCTCTACATGATTGAGAATTTAGGTCTGAAGGTCTCCTTCGCAATAGCTCTCATAATGACCAGTAAACGTTATTTCTATCTTTCTTTTCGTAGACCGATGTGCAATACTGGGCTTCTCCATGACCACAAAATTTTGGGCTTTTCCTATGGAGCCTCTCAAGCCCAAATCTCATACTCCTAGAAGCTGAAAAGCCCATTTCCTAAGGGACAAATGCTTCATATTAAATGTGGCTCTATATATTTATAGGGCTTATTAATCGATACTTACAAACTCACCACAATCTTTAACTGAGTATCTATCCGAGATCTCTGATTAAAAGTGCAATTTTGTTCGTAGTATAGTATTTTATTTGTAAATACTAAATTAGGAAATTTACAGGTTTTTCATTGCGAAAGCAAATCTCTTTTCATCAATTATGATTCGATAGAAATTCTCACAAAATGGATAAATTCCTTAGTTTCCACCTAACCTTAGTTATTGTTTATTTCCCACAAGAAAAGATAGAAAAATAATCTGATCTTTCTACACCTATAATAATATATTCTTAGAAAATCGATTAGAGTTTAAGTGAAATGTTAATTACTAGTCTATTTAACATTTTTTTATTAGTGGTCCCGACCAAATAACATTCTACAACAAATAGAAAATAGTTTACCTTCAAAGTGATCTTTCGATATAAATTCAAATCAATCAAATTTCAAATAAAATAATATTATGTTTGAAGGGGAAATATTTTGATGATGCCTCATTTATCAAAATGAAATATTCTAAACTCCAATGTAATAACGTGGGAATCCCCGTGCTTCCTTGTTAACCTTATCTCTAATAATAATATTCCAAAGTCCAAAAACGAGTATCTCGATACTTCAATAAAATGCTCTTTTCGTTTCAATTTATTTGACATAATTCGAAATATGAGGATCAAACTAATTAATGTTCTCTATGAATCCAAACATAGAGTTTATATATTTATAAACTACGATGAAATAATATAATATACGTCACAAATAGTTAATAATTTAAAATGTTTTCTAAAATTTATCCTTAAAGCCAAATGATAATTAACACAAATAAATTGAAACGAAGCAGTATATTTTACCTTATGCATTGGCTCCAATAGAGATGTCACACCTCGTCGCTATAGACTATAGTGCATGTCATTATCAATCCAATTTGTTCATGTGAGTATCATGGAATTTTAACTACATATCTACGTTTCAATTAATGTTTATGCCAAATCATATTAATAAATATAATTATTTATCTGATATATAAGCACACCTTCTATACGACTAGATTATCTCATGATTTTATTATAAATTTAATTTCAATTTCTTATACTATCATATTATTAAAAGATAATTTATATAATATGTTTTTTTTAAAAGTAAAAAATTATTTTAAAATAAGATAAAATATTAAATACCACGATAGTGAAATTTGATCTAATTACTTAAAATATTTAAATTAACAATATATATAACTTAAACTCGGAAACTTATTGTGCGGTGTGAAAAGGAAAGACAAATCAAGCCACCAACTACTTGCACCATTCTCAACTACTCAAAGAAAGTTGAAGTCTCCCAAACCATTACTTTGTTAACAATAATTTTTAGTTCCTTGACCTGTTCTACTTGGAGTTGACTGATAATTACTCGCTTAGTTTTAAATTATTTATCGTGCTTCTCTCTTATATGCTTCTTAAATAAATATGAATTAAGATTTTTTTTACTTTATTTTATTTATGTCTTTGGAAATAGTTTCAAATTTCAACGAACAAATATATTAAGTGATTTCTTCCAATTTGTTCTAGCTTTGATTGACAGAGTTATATGAAATTTGTTGTTGACGGAAGGTAATATGTATCTCCTGAAATTAATCGAGGTGTGTGTAAACTGACATGGACATTACATTACAATTATAGAAAAAGAAGAAGATATGATAATCTCTCTTTACAAGTATTGACTCTATTGAAGTATTTATAGTCTTCATAAATAATTACTATTAACTACAAAGGATAAAAAATAATTTAAAATAACTATTTCAAAAGATCACGACATATCATTTGAAACGAAAAATGATAATAATTCTATACGTCCTTTATTAGTCTAGTACTAAATATATACATTGTGTTAGCAAAGTCACCATATGTGTTCGCATTTTCAAACGTCGGCCAACAATATTGGTGGCTAGTAGTATATTATCTATAGGCAATAACAAACGTGAAATGCTTTAAAACTTTCCGATGTGAATTTAAATTCGTATCAGCTTTACCCTGGATATGTGACTTTCTTTCTGGCGTAAATTTGAATTTAGTCAAACTCCAACCTCGAGTGGAAAACAAAAAAAAAACTATTATGTAACCTTAGTTAATTAAATCATATTTTTGACTTAAAACAAATTTCTTAACCAAGGTAAGTTTGCATTAATTCAATATAACCACTTGGTGTCATTATTAAGTATATATACTTTTTTTTTGGAACCCAGGATAACCCGCAACCGCTACAATCTCTGTCAAACCACACAAGAATGTAAACAGCACTAGGCAAGCCCTATGCAATAAACTCGACCCAGAAGACATTGATGGGAGGTCAATCCCGGGTCATCCATGTGAATAACCACTGAGTCATCTCGAAGGACAAGTATATATACCTTTAAATCTTACGATTATCAATATTAGATATCACAATTCAGTAATTTACCACCAAGAAGAATTAATTAAACAAATTTTATTTAACTAACATTAAAAAATTTACTAATTCCTAATTAATACACTTCTAATCCAAACAAAACGCCGGCGTATTTCTCCGGTCCGTCATTTACAAAGTACACGTCCCTCATTTTTTGAAAAGCGTGCCACGTCAACAAACTATCTGAACCGGCCTGATGACACTTCCCGACCGCCCGGTTCACCTCTAACACCTTCGCAATCCGGTCTAAACCGCCATAGAGTTTCTCACAAAACCTCATCAAATGCTTCACATCATAAACATTATTACCGAAAAACACCTTGAAAACTTCCAGAAAATCCTCTAACTCGCCGGGAAGTTCCCGGCGGGTGAGGATTTTTACGAGGTATGCGAAATCGTAAGCGCTGTGGAACGTAACCCAGCTTACGGTTTCGTTGCATACAAGCCCAGACGACATCATCAGCTCGGCGAAACGACAAGAATCGATTCCGATCACCTTGTTCTTCTCGAAATCGATGCCGTGACGCCGGAGTAGCTCGATTGAGTCCGGAGCGTGTCGATCACGCGCCACGTCGAAATCGGAGAAGTTGAACTGCCAGATGTATCGATTAACACCGGCGGTACCCAGATCCGGTAAGTTCCCATCGGAGTCAGACAATGTAAGTCCTACCTGAATGATGTTCAAAACGTCGACGTTTGATTTCAACATCTTGTAATGCTCCGATGGTAACAGCGGCACATAACGCCGGCGATTTTGCCGGGAAGAAATAACCTCCGGCTTATAAATTACTCCCGGAAACTCAGTATCCATTGAGATGAATGGGTACTGATCAATTGCTGTTCGTATAAGCTCAAACTCCGATTCCAGATTATCCGACCAAACTTCCCGGATCTTAATCGGGTTTTCATCCGAATCAACAATTTCAACAGCCATGACTCAAAATTCAGCAAGATTTTCAGATGGGTCGTCGTAAAAACTTGAATAAATAATGGGTTTGCAGTGAATTCCAGATCTGAATCCAAAAAAAAAAAAAACTTTGCTTTTGATTTGCTTTTGCCTAATGTTGAAGGGAACTGGTTGTTTTATAGCAAAAAAAGAAGTATGAGAAAAAGAACAGAAAACAGAATAAATAAAGAAAAAGTTAACAAAAAAGATTCATTAAATCGGCCAAAGTAAAGTTTTTAATTCAGTTTTGTTTTTTTTTTCTAAAAAAAGAATTGTTTTAGCTAAAGGAAAAAGAATTAAAGAAGGATTCTTGTTTTTTTTTTTTGTCCAAGTTCAACGCGTCTAGACTGTTTATTTAAATCAAGAAGTCGGTATTTTTATTTTTTTTTCGGTTTTCCACTAAATATTCGATATTCACATTAAAATTTGATTAAATCAAAATTCGCATTGAAAATTTTCTCATTTGAGAGTAAAGCGTTTTCTAACAAAGATAATTACGTATTCATGAGGATGTGAATCCGAGACTTTTGATTATAAATAAAAGAATACATACTGTTCCGTACCATTGATTTTTTTTATTAGCAAGTTTTTTTCAATGTTTGTTGCGTGTGATATTTGTATTGTTACTGGAAGTGAGCAGATTCTGTTCAAGTATGGTACAGAGTTGACATCAGGGTGTACAACTTGGTACTACTAAATTTAGATTCGATTTGAGAAGGAATCAAATTTGAGATTTTTGATTAAAAATAGAAGAATGAAAGAATATTTATCGTTATAATCTTTGTTGGTAACTTGGGTACTCTTGTTTGTGTCTTTTTGTTGTATGTGATAGTTTGAACATGTGATATGATACTAAATGTATGTAAAGTTGAAGTTTAATTAAAGATACTACTTACATCATCTAATTATGTAGTATCGTTTTACTTGGTATAAAATGTAATTTTTAGATATTTGTATGATTGTGATTCATTTCATTAAGGGTAAAAGAGTAATTTTAATGTTAAATTATTTTTAATTATAATAAGTTTCATTCTTTGCAGAAAAGATTAAAAAGGAAAGGATGTCACATAAAATAGTATGAAAAAGTAGTAAATAAGCCCTTTTGAATCTTATGATATTAAATTAAATATTTATTAAATATATTAAAGCGTTATTTAATTTTGTGATTTTAAACATTACACGTGAAAAATTACATATTTGTAATGGAGGCGGACCCACATGGTGTCACGAGGTGCACATTTTGTAACACAACATTTTTTCACACCTCTAGTCAATGTATATTGATACTACCATTTTACATGCATGCATCTTTTTTTTGGTTTCTCACCCGAGCTTTGGCTAAATTCGGATTGCGCACTGCATGACCCATTCGGGGGTGGCACTCCCTTCATATTCAGGGCTTGAATCCGAGACCTCTGGTTAATGGTGAAACACTCCCACCAGTACACCACAACCCATGTTGGTACATGCATGCATTAAGAACAAGCAACGTATATGTTAGGTATGAACAACGTAATGTCATATTATTGGTTATTACATATTGAGCTTCTAGTCAAATTAATATATGTTTTTCATGTTATTTTTCGATATAATATATTCTTCTATTAGTTGAAAAATTCTCTAAAAGAAGAGTACATCTAAATAAGGAAAAAACATCAAAAGAAGAAAATAACAATTACGTACTAAAATTTACAATGCAAGTACTTAATAACTTAAAATATATTAGGATCTTTATGGGGGAAAATAATTATCTATTTATGTTATATCTTTGTGTTTTTTTTTTAAATTTCTGTATAACCATAGATATATAGAACAAATGGGAAAATAAAAAACAAAGAATATGTAAATAGGGACTAAAAGGGCGGAGCTTTAATAAATAGAATTATTTGATAATTATATTGATAGAGGATTACAAATATCTATTTAAATTAATTGAAATTCGCATAAAATTATCGATACATTACGATAACAAATTTTAAAAATTATACCAAGGTATGTCGTCTAAGAAATTAATATATTAAAAAGGTTTCCTCTAAGTTTTCCTTTTTTACCACACGTGGAAATAGATTTCTTAATATGATATTTATAATATATTAATAAAAAAATATGACCCCTTTGAAGTTTAATAATTCATTAATGTTATTAGAAACGTGACTAAAAACTAAAATAATTAAGTGAAGAAGAAAGAAAAGTCAGCAACTTGGCTCAGTCAACAAGTTGGTATTTGTTGAATGCACATTCTTTCTTTATGGTCTTTGACTTCTCTAATTATGGAGATAAATTAGTACTCCTCCGTCTCAATTTAAGTATCATTTTTCTGAATTTTGAGATTTAAATAAATTAATTTTTATTATAAATTTTTATATATGTTTTAAATTTTTTATCTTATTAATTATTGTAACTTATATACTAATTTTTATATAATTTTTAAATATGTAAATTTTGTTTAAAAAAAACTTAAAGATTTCATGCTTAAATTCGAAGTAAAAATTAGATTTTTTGACTTTTGAAATTCTAACGATGTCAGATAAATTGTGATAGAGAAAATAGAAATTTACTATATTATCCTTCTCATTTAATTTGACTCAACTTAGATTAGTTGACTTTAAGTCGACTTCTGGTCAATTCTGTGTACTAATGGAGACCAAGTAAAACTCTTAATTTATTTTTTTAATTATCAGTTTGTTTTCCATTTACTTTTAGTTTATTCATTAAAATAAATATTCAATATAGTTTTCTAGTGCAAATTTGAATAGTCGAGTCACAAAATGAATGACACCAAGTGAAAAACCAGAACAAAAAAATTAGAGAGAAAAGCACGTTGTGGCAAAAAATCCTTGCATTCCAATATTGTTGATATTCATAGGCCAAAAACACATATGGGCTTTGCACAATTTAAGGCCTATTATACTTACATATGAAAACTATTTATTTACAAGAATGGCCTTAGAGGCGGATGCTATTGAACTCTTGGCCTCGTTTGTCTTACGGGCTAAACTTCAAGTATAACAAATTTTAAGTTTTGACCTTGAAGATTTGCTTGCAAGGCGCAAGTTGAGTTTCAAAAAGTTTAAGATTACTCCTTTATAAGATCATGAGTATAATTTTGTATGAAAGCATCGTTTATTGTCCGAAAGAATTTTGACTTCACAACTTATACTTTTATTCAAACAATTTGTTCTCCCAAAACTATGTTATTCAGAGTTTGCAAAAATATTATCACATCTGCATTAGAAATGCACTATTTTTGAATAATTAGGCATACACTCATCGACTTATTGCTTTTTTTTTATTTATTTGAAGAGTTTGAACAACATATTTCCAACAAAGTTATTTGATAATCCAATCTCCAATCGTCACTAAATCGGATTAGTGATAAATTAAATTTTGTTGTTCAGCTTCAGAATATATATCTAATTCTTTTTTTTTTAGTGCCATTTAATCTATAAATAAACTGTTATGATAAATTACACCTAACAAACATATTTTCTTTCTTTAAAGCAAAAGGCTTATTATAAACTCAATTCCCTGAAATTAATATCTTAATGACATGCATGATAGTGTAATAATTCTCTTTATAGTGGTTAATTCATGATAGAATAAAATAGGATATAACATACATCTCAATATACACTTACTCCTTTTTTGAATTTTTAATTTGATGTCTGGTATCTATATTGGAGTCCGACTATTTCAAATTCATACTGTACAGGGGAGCGCTCCCTACAAATGATTTTTTCATACCCAAGACTCGAACTAGAAACCTCTGATAATGGGAGGAGTAGCCTCATCTGCTACACCACATCCTTTGATGGTCTCTATATACACTATTAAGTCTATTGTTACTACATCATATGTACTCCCTCCGTTCCTTTTTAGTTGTCACGTTGTGCTTTTCGAAAGTCAATTTGACTAATCTTCAAAGTCAAATTTGATTACATTTATTTGATATTTTAAACTAAAAATTTAGATATTCAAAAAACAATATGAAAAGTACTATAAATTGCAATTTTTTGCATATCAATATGATGAAAAAATACATCGTAAAATGTTAATCAAAGTCCATATAATTTAACTCTAAAAAAGAAAACCATGACAACTAAAAAGAAACCAAAAAAATACCTTAAAAATATTCAATGAATTCTTTAATTAGGAAACACCAACTGTTGAAGCTTAATTCTATTTGGGTCATGTGACTCATATTGCCAGAAATTGTACACTTAATTGAATGATATGAGCCCTCTACTAATGGCTAGCTATTATTGTACTATTATCATTAATCAGATACAGTACAACTTGATATTTATGTATATATTTACTTCAAGAGAAATTTATTTGACAATTACATATAAGTGGTAGGGGTCTAATTGTTGATGTGAGGTGGATTCATAAAGTTCAAACATATTTTTAATATCTTTTCAGTACTATTCAATATTAATTCTATTAGAATCTCATGTAACGGTCCAATCTATTAATGATATTGATTATTTTAGATCTAAGCTCCATCACATAATTTTAAAATGTGTTACTAGGGTCTAAAGTTTGCTTGTGTAGATCATACCCAACATATACACCCCCTTTAGGCTTTAGGGATTCAATATCTTCACTAAGGTTTGTCCCATCATCATTTACGATTGAACGTAAAGTGATTTTGATATTATATGTTACAATCCACCCCGCTAGTAATATTGTTCTCTTTAAAATGCATCACTAATAAATACGACTGGTTCTCTTATAATATTCACTATGATTTCTTGCATTTTGTTGATGTGGGATTCGCCTATAGAAAAGTCATGACAAAATATACTCCCCCCCCTCCTTTAGGGATTCAATATCTCCACTGGGATTTGTCCCATGCACCATCATTTAAGGCTGCAATACGCAAAGTGATTTTGATATTATATGTTACAATCCACCCCGCTAGTAATATTGTTCGCTTGAATATGCGTCACTAAGAAATAAGACTTGTTTTCTTAAAATATCCAATATGATCTCTCGTGTTTTGTTGATGTAGGATTCGCCTATAGAAAAGTCATGATAACATACACCTTCTCTCCCTTTTAGGGATTCAATATCTTCACTGAGATTTGTCCCTCCATCATTTAAGGTTGTAGTACACAAAGTGATGTTGATATTATATGTTACAATTCAATCCGCTAGTACTAATGTTCGCTTGAAAATGCATTACTAAGAAATAAGACTTGTTTTCTTATAATATTCAATATGATCTCTTGCGTTTTGTTGATGTGGGATTCACCTATAAAGAAGTCATAACAACATACACCCCCTTCCCCCTTTAGGGATTTAATATCTTTACTGAGATTTATCCCACCATCATTTAAGGTTGCAATACGCAAAGTGATTTTGATATTATATGTTACAATCCACCCTGCTAGTAATATTGTTCACTTGAAAATGCTACTAAGAAATAAGACTTGTTTTCTTATAATATCCAATATGAACTCTCGAGTTTTGTTGGTGTAGGATTCACCTATAGAAAAGTCATGATAGCATACACCCTCTCCCCCTTTAGGGATTCAACATCTTCACTGAGGTTTGTCCCATTATCATTTAAGATTGCACGTAAAGTGATTTTGATATTATATGTTACAATCCATTTCGCTAGTAATATTGTTTGCTTTAAAATGCTCACTAAGAAATAAGACTTGTTTTCTTATAGCATCCAATGTGATCTCTCGTGTTTGTGTTTTTGTTGATGTGGGATTCGCCTGAGATGTTATGTCCTAATTAGACAAAGTTTGTGTTGAGTAAGGCTTATTAGGAAGTGTTTAATAGCTATCATGACTTTTCTATATCCACAGCTGATTCAAAATCTTTAATTGAAAATAAAAAAATCATATTCATCTCATCTCAATTCTTGATAATTTTTCGTTCGAGGTTATGACTTATAAACATTCCACATGCAATGAGATAATTGTTTTCTTAATAGGTGTGTCAATTTAAAAGTGGACAAGTAATTAGTTACAAAGAGAGTAATAAAGTGTTTCCATGTTCCAACAAACCATGTGAAGCATTTACAAGATTAAATTATAAAACTCATATTTTTTGTAATTAATGAAGGTAATAACAAGGGATGTTGCAACAAAAATGTAATTGCATTTACAGTAAAGATAGCAACTCTACATGAACTACTAACATCAAAATATTAATTATATGATGACCAAACCATAGTATAGTAGGTTTCATTGGGTTACAAATTGCACTAGTTGAATACAAAATTCCCAAATTTTCATGATCACACAATCCAATAATATCAAGATAATCAAAACTAAATAAAAGCTATAAGCTAATATATTCAATTGAATTGCGAAAACTTCTTGATAAGTATATTTTAAAAATATTTGGAACTGAATTCAACCTGGTCCAAGAGGAGATTGATCTCTACGAGAAATACAAGATTCTGCTTCTGACAACAACATGTTTGATCCTTGATTACTTTGAGTTCTTGATTCTTTCCTCATGGAATAAATCAAGCAAAACAGTGCTCTTGCATTTAGGGCATTTTGGTTTATTTACTGATAACATAACATACATCAAACATCTAGGGCATCCCACAAGCATCATTGAGGTTGTCTCTGAGCTACTAGGGCAATCGGAAAATGATCGATCATCGATGGGGTTAGGTTCTTGAGAAACACAAGAGGTGGTTGGTGATCTTATGATCTCCATTGAAGAAGAAGAAGAAGATGATGATGATCTTCTTGGTGGTGAAGGTTCATTTCTTGGAAAAGTTGCCCTTGGTGGTGATAAGTTTAGCTTCAAGTCAACTTTTGCATGTGTATGGTTCATTTTTTTGTTTGTTTTCTTGAAACCTATCCCACAAAATTCTGTATTATATAATATAAATAATAATTAGAAAAAAAAAATAATGGTAAATACAAATTTTTGAGGTAAATTGGCTTGTTGACAAGGAATTTCTGATGAAAAGTATGTCGAAAACGTTTTTAGAATAGCAAATTTCACAAGAAAATTCACCTTTTTCAGTATGACATAAATATATAATATAACCATCAAGGTAACATAGGGTTAACGAAGTTCAATTGAATTCTCTAGCCAGAAAAGTATACAACATATATAGGTAGATATTGAATTTTCTTTAGTGTACTATTATTTAAATCTCCTTTTTAAAATTTCTAATTCTGTTACAAGCTACCAACCTCCCTTGAAAAAACAAATAACCAAAATAAAAAGAGGTGTGAACATGAAAATTAAGGAGAAATATAAAATTACCTTTGATGAGAAGAGTAGACAATTGCCTAATTGTGTAGATCAAAATTTTCTAGCCAAATAAGATAAGTGAAAATTGAGAGAAGAAAGATTGGTGGAGGAGGAAAATATTGCCTAAGTTGGATAAGATTTATATAGTAAGTTGGATGAAAGAGAAGTTATGAGGTTTATTCAGTGCAAAATTAATTGTGATTGAAACTTGGATATATATATATATCATGACTTGAACTTATACGATAATGTATATGACTTAAATTATATGAAATTTACTCTTTTTAATTGATTTACCAAATTCTCTCTCTCTCTATATATATAGGGGTGTACATAGGTCGGGTTGATTTGATTTTTCATTAAAAAAATCTAAACCAATTATATCGGTTTATTAAATCTAAAAATCAAATCAAACCACATAAAGTTCGGGTTTTTCGATTTAGACTTTAGTTTGGTTTTTTCGGTTTTTTACAACTATACGATGTTTAAAAAAGAGATCAAATATATTTTCACTTATCTGTGTGATAAGCTAAACTTTAAAACTGTTAAATGAATAGAAATCTTCGAAAAGACAGTAAAATTCACATGAGTACAAAATACTATTATTGAAATATCAACGTTCATTATGTTAAATTAATAAGATTAAAGGCTACAGTCAAACTAAATACAAAACAAAATATTTCCAAATTAAATTGTTAACTTCGAATTAAAAAATTTATAACAATATAATTGTAATTCCGATCTTAATACAAAATAAAATATTTACAAAACTTCATTATAGTAAAAGAAATAGTTCTACAGACCGACAATATAAAAGTTTTTGTACATCAATATATTTTAATCTTGAAAATTGAGTCATCACCATTAATTTCTTTGTGTATTGAACTATTTTAAATTACATTTCATTAGCCGAAGAAACTTACTATATTAATTTAGTTACGATTGTATCATATTAATAATTAATATCTATCATAAAAATACATACGTAATTGTCTTAATAAGTGATCTAGTTTTGTAATATTTTGTACATTATTTTAATGAATACAACTTAAATCCATTTTTTTTAGAGAAAAATATTTCTAATTAAAACACAAAACAACTCCAACAAAAGTTGTTGAATTTGAAGGATGAAAAAGTTTGTGAAACTCAAAAAACGATTTATAAGGTTCGAAGGCCTTATAATTTATAAGTTCAAAACTAAAAAACCAATTCATGAAATGCAAATATACATACACAGGAATTAGGATAAAACAATCTCATATTTTATCCGAGATTATGATCCTTATTTCACCAACAAAACGATCCTAAATGGACACTTATTGTTAGGTTATAGAACTCCCCTACATGACAATATATGGTGTTACTTTTTAATTATTATTATTAATAATAATAACCATTTTAGTACTCCTACATGACAATATAGTACTCTTACAATAAATGAGAAGTAATATCATTTTGTTTTTTTGTAAAAAAACTGTGCCAACCAGCTGACAATACTGATTAAGTTGAAATTATTGAGTGTACCTTCAATGAAAGGGTAAGTGTATTTTCATCCGCAGGTAACATATTCGAAGTCAGTAAAATCAATCACTAATATCATAAATTTGAGTTTCAGAATATAATTTAGTTATTAATATTTGTATCAGAATAGAATACATGTGTAACACTTTCTTGAAATAAATTCCTTTCCGTGTTTTATTATTAAGGATGGAAAAAAGGTGTAAAAAGTTTTCAAGAAGAGCAATATATATCATTCTTTTCGTGACAAATTAGGAGGCTCGCTTTGAGGTACTATACGATAAGAATATGTCGTCAAGACAAGGTAAATTTTATAAAGTAATGATTAATAACAATACTATTATATGAGGTATAGTGTTGATCAGTAAAAAATGTTCATATTCAAAGATGAAGGTAACATAAATGATGATTAAGAACGATTATATGGGGCAAGGTGAAAGTAACCTCTATGACGGATAAGATGAGAGAAGTGAGACTGAAACCGGTCGTACACGTGAAGAGGAGGTGCGGGGATGCGCCACTGAGAAGGTTAGATGTCGTAGGAATTGTGAGAGGTAGAAATAGACTAAAGAAGAATTGGAGAGAGGTGATAGACACAAGACATGACACAACTTCAATTGATTGAAGAGATAACCTTAGATAAGAAGTAATCGAGTCGAGAATTAAGGTAGAAGGTTAGCAGGTAGTCGGTTGTTGTCGTGCTCTAGTAGTATAATTTAGATATCACTTAGTTTCTTTTTTTTCTCCAATGTGTATTGATATTTGTTGCCACACTTTGCTTGTTTTATACATTGCTATTTTGTTGTCTCTTTTTCTTTAATTTCTTACTTTGTTGTGCTAGTTACATTTATTTTGAGCTGATAATCTATAGAAAACAGTCTCATTAAACTCCAAAAAAAAATTGCTTAAAAGAGTGGAGCCATAAACTATTACTACAAATTTGCAGGTAAATGGTCACTTCACCAAATATTTTCTGTATATTTATTGCAGGGGTGGCTTAATAAAGCATAGACAAGTGAAAAAAAATATCCCAAAAAGCTTGATCTATCTATACAGTATAATTTTCCGAGGAAGAGGTATCAATTGACTCGTATTAAATAAGGGTAACTCCGCCGCTGGCTTGAGGCCGGGTGCTGTGCAGAATTGTTGTAAACACATTCAGACAATATGAAAGTTCATTCTTCTTCTTTTTTCACACAAGTATTGCCATATGAATTAGTATTATGACAATTAAATTGCAGACAGATAAAACACACAAAATAAGCAGAAAAAAAAGAGATAGTTACAGATAGTACAGAGAATTTAGTATTGATGTCAACTGTCTAATCCTCAAGAATTTGCTGTTTTTCAAATTCAGCAATGTCAGCAAGTGAGTTAAGATTGTTGTTTATTGTTTCATTGCTACTTCTGCACTGAAGCAATTGTTCCCTGAGATTCCGCACGAGCTCGTTAAGCCTTTGGATGTTCTTCTCCTGTGATAATATAATCTGCAATTTTTTTAACAGTAGGGTAAGACTGCGTACATTAGACACTTGTGGTTCAACCCTTCTGCAGACCTCGCGCACATAGCAAGAGCTTAGTGCACCAGGGGCTGCCCTGACTATTCAGATTAAACTTAGCAGCCCCCAGCGTATAGCAAATGATAAAAGAAACTTACTATGTAAAACTAGTGTTTGCACCAAACAAAATTTTTAAGATGAAGATTTCACAGTATAAATTTTTTTGAACGACGGCTTTCAATAGGCCAACGTGGAACTAAACTAACTACTAACTAGTGGCGGTTAGTAAAAGAAGACGAATAAAGAAGAGACAAGTAAATTTACAAAGAGATAAACATGTAATATTAGCTGTGAAGGTTCACTTAAGGTCATTTAACAGTAACAACAAAGAGTCAACTGGTGCCCCGTGGTTAGAAGGATTCAGTGCAGGGGAGGAAAAGAAAACTGGCCAGCTTTAAATTTGAAATACTAATATAGGCGAAGGAGAAACAAGATTGTAGCAGGTGGTCTACGAAACCAAAAACCAAGAAATCCATCTGGAGACTCCAACCCTTTGGGCAGACTGGAGCCTTTGAAACTCGGGATGATGGTCCCTCCCCTCTACACTTGTCCATGCAAATATTAGACTTAGTGCGCTTGGGCAGAGCTCGAACTCGTGACCTAAGACACAAGTCCCTCAACCTTTACCAATTGAACCGTCATTAAAAAGCAAGTTGAGCTGCCAGCAAAACTCTGGCCAATGCCAGGGCCAACTTGGTGCATACAATAAGTTGGTTACAGTCCCACTGGGTCAGTCAGAACTACTATCTCTCTTTGCTGACCTACAATTACTACCAATTCGTTTAGTCCTTATCTGTCCCAACTGTTACTACAGATTCTTTAATGCTTTTGTTGCTCATGTCATTCTCAAGAGGACTGTTCCTCCATTTGGAGAGAAGGTTGGGAGGGGGGGAGTTATGGCCACAACAATCAAATATTGGTACAGTGTTAATTTTGCCTAACCTTACTAATTTCACATTCATGCGTCATTTATTCTAATTTTTTTTAATAATTGTGGTGTTCGGACCAGCTAGCGCACACCTCGACTAATTCCAGGAGATACTTGCCACCTCCCACCAACAACAAATAACATGTGACTCTATTCACCAAGGTTAGGACAGATAGGAAGAAATCACCAAGTACTTTTTTTTGTCTCTGCAGGAATTTGAACCTAAGACCTCATGCCTCATGGTTCTCAACCCACTTCATTCACCACTAGGCCACACCCTTGGGTGCATCATTTGTTCTATTTACATATTAACATTTATATAGATTAGTGCAAAACCTTATAATATTTCTTTGATCTTCAAATATAATCTCAAAATTTTCTTTTTTATCTTATTTAAGAAATAGGAAAACTAAACACAATTACAATAGCATCTATAAGAATGAAGCATGTCAAATGAAAACTAGTTAAAATGGCATTATGAACACCAAGAACCAAATAAATCAAACTTTTTTGTGCCAAAACAACCATGTATCTTTGAACCCAAGGGTGTGACCTAGTGGTTAATGAAATATGGGAGAACGATACGGCCTCGGGTTCAAATCCCATCAAAGACAAAAAAAAAACTAGGTGATCTCTTCTCATCTGCCCAAGCTTTGGTGAGCAGAGTTACATGGTAAACTGTGCTAGTGGGAGGTAGCGGATACCTAGAGATATTAGTCGAAATGCACACAAGCTGACCTAGACACCACCGTCATTAAAAAAAGAACCAAGAATCTTTGTTGCAACACATAATTTTTGCTCTTGAAGGAAGCAAATTCATTTACTGTACTTCTATTGTTATATTTAGATGGTACTTTTTACAATCACTTTCTGGTCCATATGCTTTTGAGTTACTTTCCCCATCATACAAAGAGCACCTACGGGGATATGTAGATCTGGAATGGATTCAACCTGTCTGCATTTAAGCACCGCAGTCCTGTCTAGTTTGATATTAACTTCATTTGTCTAATGCTGGCTAAAATTGATTTAGTTAGTCTCACTTAAACCTATTCTAATATAACATTGAATAATTTGATTCTAACCTTTTCCATGACAATTCCAAACATTCATATGGATAACATCTCGATTACAAGTTCTTCTTTCCCTCATATTTTATGTGGTCCTTTACTCTTGCTGGTAAAATTCTACGATTATAGCTAGGTAAAATTCAGTAATTGATCAACAAAATATCTCTCTTTAATCTAAATCTCCTGTAAGCCTTGTTGAAAAGCATCTTTAACATAATCAATTTGATTTAAGTCTTTACCCTCTTTTACTCAAGTGTGCTAATTTATATATTTTATTATCTCATTTATGCATTTCTAACTTCTGCTACAAGTTTAATAACCGTGGCATCCAGGCTTGCTCGATTAATTCTAGGGAATACTTGACACCTTCCACCAGCAACCAGTGTTTAGGGGAGCGCGAAGCAGAGAAAAACGACAAGGTCCCGCTTCACATTTTAAGCAAAGTGCTTGCTTCATTGAAGTGAAGCACAATTTAAAAGAAAAAAGACAAAAACAAATAAGACAAAATATATAAGCAGAAATTCATATTAAAAACTAAAAAAGGTTCCCTTTTAGTAGTCTTGTCACAAAAGAGATAAACAATTGTTGTCCTATTGGTCTCACTAACTTCTTTTCTCATATTTTCATGCTGGGTCAGCCATTTTTAATTGCGGATAAGATTTAAGAAAAATAATCAACATTATATTTTTATCACTATTAAGAAAAAAATCAACAACACTTTAGTCATTGTTAAGAAACAAAACAATTCAGCAATATATATTTTATCACTGCGAGGAAAAAAATAATCAGCAACATATAATTTAAATAATCAAAGCTAAACAGGGCAAAGGAAAACAGAGTAACGGACAGGGTAGTAAAAAAGAAGAAAAATCCTAGGTAGAAGAAAAGAGAAAAAGTACTAGAAGGTACCTTGAACCCGTGAACTCTACATTTAGAAAGTTTTATTTTTTTGACAATTTCTTTTTGTTCATTTATTTGTTACCAGTGTCTACTTCTGAAAGTTTCTCAGAAATTTCAAAGACATAAGCAGAAGAAGAGATGACCACCTTGAAGTTAGAAAATCGAGTTAAGTGCAACTTTTTTCTGTTTAACACTGTTGTGTATGAGCTATTTTGATTATTTTAGCGAGGCCCAAGTATCATGTTATGTTTTAGGGAATTGCTGGTATAGAGAAGAGCCTTATTTCAATTCAACAGCTATTCTGTCATTTAGAAACAATATTTTTTATTTCCTAGATCTATAAAGTTCTTCTGGGGGAGACAAGTTCTAGAAGGAAACTAGCTTCTTTCAAGGCCCTACGAGATTATGACCAATAACGATGGGTAAAATACGAGATTGAAAATGTTAAACATTTAATGCATATTTGTATTAAAAGTACGGAGTTCGCTGCTTTATAGAAAATAATGATAAAAAAACAAAAACAAAGGATCTTCCTTGTAAAATTGTCTGGAAATCATTAGCAGACAAGAAGTGAGTGAAATGAAAATCACGGGAAACCAAGATTCAAATTCCAGCAGATAAAAAATACACTATAGGTGATTTCTTCTCATCTGTCTGGACAAAGTTCTGCAGTATTTGTGCTAGCAGGAGGCCCTAGGTACTCACAGAAAAAAAGTCGAGGTGCGTGTGTGCTGCTTGAACATCATAATAATCAATAACAAGAAAAAAAGACTGTCTGGAGTTTGAAAGCCCTTAAAAAGGTGAGTTTTTTTAGAAAAAAGTTGTTGGACTCAGGAAGAAAATAGTACAGTAGATAGTTTGTCCATGAGATTTAACATAGTTGGTCGTTGCTATACATTGGTCTGTTGCAAGGTAAAGCTGATGCAAGCCCCAAGGCGTCCATTGTGGCTAGCACATAATTTGCCCCATGCTTCACAGAATTAGGCATTCACCTTTTGCCTTCTATTAACAGGCATTAGCGACTCTACGCCTTTCAGATGAGACTCAAGCTTTATTACAGTGTGTGTTCGGTATGTAGGTTCCAATTTTTCTCATGTTCGGTTGGTCAAAATTTTAGGAGAACATTTTCTCTAGGAAAATAAGTTCCTTAAAAATGAGTAAAATAACTTCCTTAGTGGAAGTAGGGAAAATAAGTTTCACATGTGTCATTCTACATCGATTGTGTCCTCTCCACCCTCCGGTACACCTCATCACCACCCCACCCCTCTATCCCCCACCCCCAGCGCCTTAGATTTTGTCTAGTTTATATACAAATACTTTTTTTTTTTTTGATTTTCACCCTGTTT